CCCATCGGTCTCGTAAGCATACTTCAACTATAGAAAAAAAAAAGAAAAATATATGAGTTTGGATTCCTACCTAAAGATAAACTTATAAAAACATACGACAATACTTTCCCTCCTTTACCTTAACCTCTAAATTTTAACCGTTTTTTTTTAAGACAGGGCCTCCCTGTAACGCCAGCTGGCCTAGAACTCACTATGTAGGCCAGGCTGGCCTTGAACTCACAAAGATCGACCTGCCTCTGCAAGTGCTGGGATTGAAGGCGTGCACCACCATGCCTGGCTAAATTTTTAGCTTTTAAATTATTTGACTTAACCAAGAACAATCACAGTTTCCTACTAACTTACTACATGGCTTTCGCTAGTTCAAGAATTCCTGTCAGTTCCTATCAGATTTTTTAAATTGACATACACCCATAGAAAAGAAAAAGTATGGTTCAGTGATTTGGAAAATGAAGTTAGTTTTTATAGTGGGGTTTACAGTATTTGTAACTAAAAAAAATTTTTTTTGGAGATAGGGTCTTCCTGTAGTCCCAGCTGGCCTGGAATTCACTCTGCATCTCAGAGGCCTGCCCCTGCCCCCCAAGTACTGGGATTAAAGCATGTGCTACCACTCCCAGCACTAGGGACCATATTTATAACAATAAAGACTCCTAGTCTTAATGTCACTGTGCACTGACATAAGCCATTAACGACTTCTGCCTATATCTAAACCACAATGTCTACATTTCTTCTGAAATCTTTTCCTACTGGTAATCAGCATCACAAGGGAAATTAGTTTTAAAATGAGAAAGGGAAAAAAGTTTTCAGATGGAAGTCCTATTATGTTGCCTTGGCTGGTCTCCACCAGCTTAGCTCAGATGATCCACCTCAGCACCCTAGTACTGGGATTAGAGGCAAGTATCACCATTGCCCCACTAAAAAATAACTCGGGGGTCATGGAGGCAGTGACAGATTTGTGGGCAGTTGATACAAAGTTGGAAAGTTTGAAGCACTTTTTCAGGAAAGATAACATTTGTTCTAGTTTGTTACAGGTATGTAAACTTGGAAAATTTGAAGAACAGACAGGAAGAACCATTTGAGCACTCATCAGATAACTACATATTTGCATGTACTAGAAAACATAAATCTCAGAATGCACCACCAAACCAGGCTAATATTTCTTCACAGAACATAAAATTCAGCTGGACATGGTGGTATACTCCTTTAATCCCAGCATTCAGAATGCAGAGACAGGTGGAGGATCCCTGTGAGATACAGACCAACTTGGTCTACATAATGAGGTCCAGGCCAGCTGGGGCAATAGGGAGACCCTGTCTCAAAAAGGAAAAAAAAAAACAAAACCCAGGAAACACTAAAACTTTAAATTTAGGCATTAGAACTCTAGGATGTATCTTTAGGAGCTTGATAGCATAAGATTATGTGTATTCTTAAACTGTTACTAATGGTTATCCTTAAAAAAATATA